CCACTTTATTATCGCTTTCTGGCCCACATGTGATAACGTCCATAGTCTTTACAATTACTGTATGGTTATGTAAATTGTTGGAAACATAGGAAGCTGTCTGACACTGAACCAGAGCAATGGTTTGTCTAGCCCAGGACTGTAGGCCTGCCCAGATTCTAAAACCAGACATGAACAGGAGTATTCAGGTTTGTATGGTTGTAAGAAAAAGAATAAAATTCAGCTCAAAATAGGCTACACTCTTGATGAATTGCAAACCATGAGCACATATGAGGGATGAACAGATACACAATCCCTATACAGAGCTCTGTATTTACAGAATGAGTCTCCAGGAGACCTTGCCCACTTTGTTTAAGGGTGTGCTCCTAGGGGTGTTAGGACAGATTTAGGGTCATCATGGGTGTAGCTATAGGGGAAGCAAAGTGAAGGCATTGTCCCTGAATAAAGGTTCTGCTCCCAAATGAAAACTTCCTTCAGCTCCTACATTTCTAGCATTGCAAAGAGCATAACATTAAAAACTGTTCACACCTAGAACTCATATATAGAACTCATATATAGAACTCTTTAACTCTTCAATGTTGTTGTTGTGTGCCTTCAGTTGTTCCCAATTTATGGTGACCACAAAGTGAACCTATCATGGGGTTTTCTTGGCAAGATTTGTTCAGAGGAGATTTGCCATTGACTTCCCCTGAGGCTGAGAGTGTGTGAATTGCCCAAGGTCACCCAGTAGTTATGATGGCTGATCTGGGAATCAAACCCAAGTCTCTAGAGTCCTAGTCCAACATTCAAACCACTACACCATACTGGTTCTCTTTGGGGGGAAGCAGATGGTGCAAAGCACCGTCTTCAGGTCAAGGAAGGGGAGGGGCAGCACACGCTGGGCGCTCCAACCCCTTCCCGAAGATGTTGTCAAGTGCCGGACCCAGCACTCTGAGGATGCCTATCCACCGCAGCGTCCACAGCAGAAAAGGCGCAGAAGGTGTGCTGGCAGCCTTTTGTGGTGCACCTTCAGCGATTTGTAGAAGGAGCGCTATTTTAGCGCTCCTTCCTGGGGCAGTGAAGCTGCGCTGTGGGGCCGAGGAATGCGGATGCCTCAGCCCTGATCTGCAGCTTCCTGGGACGGCCCCGTGCCGCCCGTCTGCTTAGGCCCTTAATTCTTCAACTGCATTTCAAATACTCTACTGAAGTTCTACATTGCTGCAAAACTCTAAATTTGAGGACTGAAGGAAAATTTCTTTTTTGGGGATAGACTTTTTACTCTCATTTTGCACATACACACACGTCGCTACACCTGTGGTGGGTACTTCTCAGGGGGAGGTTGGTTGCCTGCATGACCAAGTCATTCTCCATGCAGTTGCCTACTTTGTTGTTTTCTCAGCTCTCTGGTTCTTCTTCACTCTGTCTCTTAGCCTTACTTGGTCCCTTAGTGTCTAGTCTTTTGAAGTTCTGCTCCCCATTTCTACTCTCCTTGCTCCCCAAGGCTTTTTCCACATAAAGCCATAAGCCATCAGTCATCAAAGCAATGCCTGACAATGTTTTCAGAAGGAGACAGTCAGCAGCCCTGTTATGTCTGGATTATCAGTGACAGAAATGCAGCATGCAGATGATGTGGTACCCTCCATAAGTACTTGTCATTCACATCCCCTCCAATACCTGAGACAGCATATTTCAGTTCCTAGAGGAAAGTGTCATTGCACTCATAGCCTGCTGGTGGGTTTCCTATAGGTAACTGGTTGGCCACTTTCTAAACGTAATGTTGAACTAGGTAGGCCTTTAGACTAATTCTGTATTCTTATGCTTTGAATTCTTTACAAAAGGAGAGGGGTAAAGTCAAACAGAAGTATACTATAAATCTTTACAGGATTGTGCTATAAATTTCCATTTTCCTGTTAATCCATTGTATAAACCCAGTGAATATATTTATCCTGAGTCCCAATTCTGAATCTTTTTTTCTTTTATCTGCCGTTGGACTCAGTAAGGATATAGAAAATACATGGAGACTATGGGCCTCAGCAGACGGCTAATTGAGCCGTCTTCCGGGCCCAGAAGAGGAGGGGCAGCCGCACAAGCGGTGCCCCTTCCTCTTCCTGAGGTTGCCCTCAGAGTCGCCGGCCCTTTGCACGGCCGGTGCTCCAGGGATGACCTCACGCCACGGCGACCAGACGCGCTGCGGCGTTTGAGTCAGGGAAAGTGCGCCCGCCGCTTTTAGGGCGCACTTTCCCTGAAATCTAAAAGGAGTGCCAATTTGGAGCTCCTTTTAGATTTGCTGCAGGAGCGCCGCGGTGCGGAGGCTGAGCTCCACCGGCGCTCTGACCCGCGGCGTCTCCGGGGCCTCCATCTGCCGACGCCCTAAAATAGGTATTGAATCTGAAATGTGAGACCATCCCTAAAGAAACGGACAACAATTTTGACAAGGCTGGCATTCATTGGTCAGGCTTAAGTAGTCTGGGAATATTTTAGACAAAATGCATTTTATTTAATTTTACATTACTATTTTATATGTGTGAGATCATTTAAAAAGTAATGTCACCCATATTTCCCTTCTTTTTAGCACTGCATTATGTACCATCTAGCAGTAGTAGAAGGCCTTTGGATATTATGTGAAATAAATTGGGAGTTTCTCAGAAATTAATCTCTTGACCTAGCATAGCAGATCAAGAGAGAGAGAACCATGCTCTGATGTGATATTTTAAATCTTATTTTCTGCCTTAAGGAGAATACGACAATTGAAAGGTCAAAATTATGCTCAGTTGTAGGTCATCTTTGAACTATAAGGTAATCATTCTTCTTTTTTGAGAGCTGTATATTTCCTCTGTGCTTGTTGGAAACCTACTGTACCTTGAAAATCTGTCACTGTGGTCTTTCATAATAAAATCTACTCCTATGTGAAAGACTGCTGCTACTGTTCCAGGTTTCTCATCTGTATTTCAGACACTACTTAAATCAAAGTACTGAAAGGGCCAATGCATGAACCTGAGAATTAAGTTGTTTATGCTCTTACATATGACACAGCAGCTAGAGAGCAAGGGCATTCAAGGCAGTATAAATGAATTGATTTACGCCTCCCCCCCTCATTCTCTGTAAAATGTTATTTGTTCCTAATCATGATGTTACAACAACCTTTTCAGCCAGTAAGATTCTGTCATATTCTTTCTTTCATCAATCATAGCAAAACAGTGTTTCATTGTATGATAATTGCAACTTGCCATACCCACCAAGGGCACCCTCAAGTTTTTTGTTTCTTTGCCTAGCCATGGCAAGCATTTTATTAGCTGATATACTGTAGTCCTTATCTGATGAAAAAAATATATTGCTCCCCCCCTTCACAGCTTTAAGCTTTTCTGCTACTGAACCGAAACGATCAAACCCATAATTGGGAATGGATGGAGGAGCAGTTTATACTGTTTAACAATAATGTTTCCAGGAAAACATCTTGCAAACAATGACAACCAGTGTAATAATCATACTTTTATTTGAGAAAAATGGCATATGGTTTATGTTTCAGTTTCTTCCTGTCAAGACATAATTGTAGAGTCATTTTGTTTGTCTGCATTCTTTCCCCAAGGGGGGAAAAGTAGACAAAGGAGAGAGAAGAAGAGAGAGGAAAGAGAGGTCCTCTAGAGATGTCATTTAATTGTGAAATACAGGACACTCCTTTAAAAACAAAATTAAACACACCCTTCAGTAATTGATTCACATGCTTAATAAACACAAAATAATTGTAAATAAGGGTAAGCATCATAATGTTCATGGTTCTTGGGTTTATTTTTTTGGTGCACAGTGAATATTTTACATATCAGAAGTGCAGATTCCACCTCCACACTTTGGCTAGATCACAGAGATGTTGAAAGCTAACAACTACCACAGTGACAAACCATGTATGCAATGTGAAGTAACAGTTAGTGTAATATTCATAGTGAGGTAAGAGAACTCAATTAATTTTCTATTGAAATTATCTCCTGATATGCTGGATTCTTACTGAATCCTCTCTCTCTCCCTCTCTTTATATATATATAACCAACTTGGAAACAATGGTATAACTTTAGTACATTTTGTTTTATGGTTTTGAACACTGGCTAGGGGGCAGGAATAGATTGCAACATGCACTGTCAACTTCGGGCCTCGGCAGACGGCTAATTGGGCCTTCTTGGAGGCAGGGAAGAGGAGGGGCAGCCGCACGCTCGGCGCCCCTTCCTCCTCCCGAGGTTGCCCTCGGAGCAGCCGGCCCTCCGCACGGCCGGCGCTCCGAGGGCAAACTCCCGCCGCAGCGTCTGTACATGCTGTGGCGGATAAGTCAGTGAAAGTGCACCCTACGCTTTTGGGCTGCACTTTCACTGACTTCTGAAAGGAGCGCTGATTTAGTGCTCCTTTCTGGGGCGCCGACGGTGCGCCGTGGTGCGGATGCCGCGGTCCCACGGCGCACCGTCCCACGGCATCCCAGACACCCTCGTCTGCTTCCCCCCTTCATTCCCCATGCTATGGAGGAAGCACTTTTTAAGAAATGGGTCATGTTTCTCTGCAGTGTGGAGTGCAAAATGAATATAAGAGTAGCTTTGCCACAATCCTGGATGAACTTTATTTGCCTTATCCAACAATTAATGTAGATTTATGTCAAAGTTATTATGTCCTCCAAATACTGTATCTCCATTTTTCCTGAGTCTGCTCTGCTTAAAATTAGGGTCAGCTTTGATTTTTTGCAAAGCTTGTGAAATTCATATTTGGATGACAACATCCAGACTTCCCCAGTCAGTCTGGTTGCTAGACAGGTTGACTGAAGGATTGTGGAAGTTGTAGTCTAAAAATACCTGTTCTAAATCATGAATGTGTAGAAGTGAAGTGCGGAAGAAATGTATGATGTGTTATTCCTGCCTGTCTGAATTGGCTGTCTGGCAGCATTCCTAAGACAATGTTCTTATTCTCTCCCCGCCCCCCGCTACATTCAGATCTGAACTTTTAAACAGCTAGGAAAGAACACAATGTCCCTCTATGAGACAGAACTGATGTGGCACCAGGGGAAACAGTATAACTTACAAAACAATGCAGAGAAGCATGATGTGAAAAGTCATATTTTCCCAAGGAACAGGGACTGTGGAACATGAGGTCAAACAATGGGAAGAACATGAGTATGCTGCTAAGAAAAGTGAGCAATCCAAAAATAGGCTATATGCAGGTCTATGAAAAAGAAATTTACAGTTACTAATTGGTTGTACTCTTTCCACGATAATATATATGGAGGAGACCTAACTTCAATTACTTTGGGGGCACTGACAGGATTAGAGTTTTGACTGTTTTCTTACCCAAAAAGGAAAGTTTCTTTTGAGAATCTGAAAACTCAAACCTCTAGAACAGTGACTCAAACCTCTAGAACAGTGGTTCCCAAACTTTGGTCCTCCGGGTGTTTTGGACTTCAACTCCCAGAATTCCTGACTGTTGGCTCAGCTGGCTAAGGTTTCTGGGAGTTGAAAGTCAAAACACCTGGAGGATCAAAGTTTGAAAATTGTTGCACTAGAAGAAGTAGGCTTCTCCTGTGTAGGCACGAGAATGAATTTCCTTTCAGCAGTGTGTGTGCTTGTGTTTGTTGTGATAGGTCATTCCTTATACAGCTGAGGTTACTTTTTACCTCTTCTCACAGAAGGCCCCCATCACTGACACCTGCCCTGCTTTCCCCCCTTTAACACTCTCCCTTAGTATATAAGGGCTCAGAACAAGTGACCTCTTTCACAAGATCTTGGATCTGAGAACTCAAAGGGAAATTTAAATGAAGAATATGGATGCCAAATAAGCAACAGGGTACCACACTATATGATC